AATGCAGCCTCTGTCACCCTAAGCTCTCTCCAATGAAGCTTTAGCGCAATTTCAACCCATGTTGACAAAAGAAATCAAGGGCGGTCTCATCCAGTAAAGGGGGGCATTGTGATGCAACGTCAAGTGGCTGCCCTCACCCCCCACCCCCTAGACTGCCTTCACTCCCCCTGGCTCACGGGGTCCCGTACTTCGAGAAACCTGTGCGCCAGGGGGAGTGTAGGCAGTCTAGGGGGGGGGGGTGGGGGCAGCCACTTGATGCCCCCCTTACTGGATGAGACCCTTTAATCTTTTGCGGCACCCAATCACCGCACCTGTTCAAAAGATTGAAAAATGGGGAATGCCCTCTTCAAAGCGAAGGTGTAGATTTCGATGGTTTGTGAGGCGGAGTTCAAACAAAGCTGAACCTTGGGAAAAACCTGCGCAGCGACTGCATACTTTTGAAGTACGCTAATGTGCAATCTCGTTTATTTCATTAAATCAAATAGGGGTTTATTCTAAGATCCTTAAGGGGATCGTATTGCTGCACCGAACGTTCTACACGATTTCACCCTGCTCCTACTTTGTATTGCACTCCCAATCAATATCTAATCTGGCAAGTCCCTACTTCATCATTGTATTCTGTTAACGTCAGGCAGCCGTACATCAAAACCAAATGTTGTGGTTTGGGGAAAATGGGGACTTGAGTAGTCTGCATTGCAAAGATAACCATTCATTCAGAATCATCCTCGAAATTTGCAAATATAACCAGATTCAGGTCAGACTTCGTATAATGTTATTAGGTACGACAATAATTACCCTCCCCTTCAAAAAGCGAGAAAGTGTCGGGTGCAGACCATGCACCACAAGTGACGACGGCCTTCACAAAATGTTAATGTTTTCTGCCAATGAAATGATTAGCCTGTTGCAGTTATTCTATCGATTGTCACTAATTACAACTATCATTTACCAGAAATCAGCTATCACTATGAACAACTTCTAACCAGATTTACTTGGAGGCCGTCGTCAGTTGTGGTGTTTGGTCTGCACCCGACACTTTCCTTTCCTCACCCTGTTCCGCTTTTTCACGATGCTCGTTACATACAGTCGATATCTCGAAGTCTGATTGGGCGTGTCACCGGAAATGACGTGGCAGCCACCGCACTTGATAGATGTTGTGTGGATAAAATACTCCCCAGATATCAGCAAAGCGTGTTGGAAGCAGCTTATCCGCGCAACTTCTATCAAGTGCGGTGGCTGCCACGTCATTTCCGGAGACACGCCATCCACTACTTCGAAGATTTGGGTTTACCCTCCCCTTCAGAAAGCGAGAAGAGCGTCGGGTGCAGACCATACACCACAAATGAAGACGGCCTTCAGAAAATGTTAATATTTTTCACCAATGAAATAGTTAGCCTGTTTTAGTTCTATTCTATCAGTTGTTACTAAATAAAACTAGGGCTCATCCGAAGAGGGGGCATACGAGTGCACGTCGCTCCAATGCCAATTGGCTCAAAGTTCCTTTAACCCATTGCGGACCGCGTGCTGCACCATGTGCAGCACGCCACCACGCGGAGAAGGAATAGTAATCTTCGATTTTTTCAGCATTTTGCTAAGTTACAAAATCAGCAGTTTTACTTTTTCAGACACAGGATATATCAATACTTGCGTACTGGTTAAATTTTCGATAGATTATTGGCCACTGATAAAGAGATGACAAAAACCTACGGAGGTGCAATTATAACGGCGGTCCGCAATGGGTTAAAGTTAAGAGCAATCACCCTTCTTATAATGTATTATCTCAGGTGTTTAACTAACGTAGTATGTATTCTTGTAAACTAGATGACATTAAGGTCTATGGAAATTAATATTAACCTAGTCAGCAGGTCAGAACTAAGCCTAGGAGGAGGAGAAAGCCACCCCGGGGAAAACCAAGATTGCGCACGGACCCGAGGGCTCCTTCCCTTTTAAGACTAGTCCTGAACTCTACAAATAAAAGTAATATTGTCGTCGCATGTCCTGAAATGCTCTTGATCGCTAGCCCCTTACTGAATGAGAACCCTAAAAACATCATTAACCAAACCAGCTATCACTATGAACGACTACTAACCAGTCTAAATATCAAAACGTGGTGGCAACAGCTTATCCATGCAACTTCTATCAAAGTGCAGCAGCAGCCACGTCACTTCTAGTGATACGTCTACCCCAACTCTCGGATATAGACTGCAATGTGTCCAGCATGAAAAGAGGATCATGGAAAGAAGCCTCCTGAAAGCGCAAGTTCCAGTTAACAGTAAACACGGTACCACCAGGGGCGGTATTCAATCCTTCCCCCCAGGGGATATATCCCCCTACTCTGATTCAATCCTCTGGGGGACAAAAAAGGGTTGCGTCATAGGACCTAGCATACCTCTGTGTTTCTACCTGCCAGACAGTTAGAGCAGCGCGACCCCTCAGGGGAAAGAGTGCTTCATCAGTGGAGGGTAGTAGCGCTGCTCTAACTGTCTGGCAGGTAGAAACACAGAGGTATGCTAGGTCCTATGACGCAACCCTTTTTTGTCCCCCCAGAGGATTGAATCAGAGGAGGGGGATATATCCCCCTGGGGGAAGGATTGAATACCGCCCCAGGTGAAAGTGTTTGAGGTGCCATTGCGAAACATCGTGAGGAAACCGAGTGTACGTCATGTGTACTGCACCAACACACGCACGTAAACAAACGACGCTGGCAATCATGAGGCGGGAGTCGAGGACACTGCGGTATTTGCAACAGTTTCGAACTGACTCCTGTATGTGCGTCCGTTGTTGCGCGGGCGCATCACAATTCATATTCTTCACATCCTTTCCTATGACTTTACGACAGATCATGGTGCAAAACTAGTCGCGTTCTGTGGCCGAATTTGAAATATTGCAGGTGCGTAGTGTACGCAGTGATGTCATGGAATGTTATGGGAATTAGTGAGAATAAGCCTGGAGGAACATGGTTGGGCTACTCTCGGCGAAACACACATCTCATGCTCAAAGTAAACCGAACCCTTCCTCATAAAATAAGTTCGGGGCCAAACAGAAAAATAGCTGATCGCGCAAAAGAATTGAGAGGGCCTTTGAAATTATTGCTTCTTCTATGTCACATGAAACATCGCATTGAAATTTTCCAAACACGGCGGAGTTATCTGCCATGAAGACCTTATGTGGCATGGTGTTCTCTCCTGGCATGGAAATGAAAACAATTGGTGTACGGTCGGGTTTACAGCGTGTCCTAGTGTTTGAGCCGCAACTGCACTATATACATCTCGACTTGCAAAATCAAGGTGTCGCCACAACATAGGCCCTGTTCAGAGATGTCCGCTTGCGCGAAAAAACGCATAGGCGAAACAATGTGAAATATGTATCGACTGAACGAAGACGCACAGGCGAATCGTGAAGTGGGAGGATCGACGAAAATGAGTATCATACGCATCGACTTACGAACGCTTCGCTCACGCGATTTTCCGCCTGTGCGTTTCTCACAGTCGATACATATCAAACTCTTGACTGAAATTCGCCTGCTCCGGACGTTTCGCTTACGCGTTTCACAATTTCTCAGTCGATGCGTATCTAAATCTTGGCGGAGATTTTCGCCTGTGCGTTTTTTCGCGCCGGCGGACATCTCTGAACAGGGCCTCAAGGTGTCCCACAACATTAGGTTTGCATCCAGATATAAAATATCATCTCACGATGTACTACGTTTATTTTCACTGGATGTTCGCTGTGGGATTAGGCTTCGCTGCTTTGGCACGCCTGAGGGGCTTTTATTTGTGAGTAGCTTTGCCACCTAGATCCTACATATGCTCTGTTTCAGAAAGCGAGAAGCGTGTCGAGTGCAGACCATACACCACAAGTGACGACGGCCTCCACAAAATGTAAATGTTTTCTGCCAATGAAATGATTAGCCTGTTGCAGTTGTATTCTATCAGTTGTCACTAATTACAACTATCATTTACCAAAATCAGCTATCACTATGAAACTACTAACCAGATTTACTTGGAGGCCGTCGTCACTTGTGGTGTGTGGTCTGCACTCGACGCGCTTCTGGTTTTCCGAAACAGGGTACGTAGGTGCGCGTTCGGGTTTCGCGTAGGGTCCGCCAGAAAGTAAATTATGGAATTATACTTTGAATTTTTGTGAATCTTGGCTTTGGAGTCTGCCCTCTTTCTTCAAACTTCTCGAATATAATGTTCCTGTCATGTCATCTTGCGCTTTTCCAATGTCTTTTTACGCGTCACTGCAGTGTATGTTAAGCCCTCTACTGTTTAAGGACTTACCCAGTTCCGTGATTTTTGCTGCAAGAATGGATTTTGATGGAACAAATGACATCCCAGCAACTTCCTCCGGTAGCCCCTCGGTAAATGTTTGAGAGCTCATGTTTTTTCTTCCTCAGCTTTCCTGTTCCGAACAATGAGTGAACAATAAATATATTTCAGGTAACCACAGGCCAACGTGAAGGTGGCGATACAAATACTTCAGGTAGAGTCTGATATCCTGCTTATGCATTCCAATACTGGCCTCGAAAGGTATCACTTCCAGTTGTTTGAGGGTGCTGAATTACAATTCATCCACAGGACTTCATCATGCTTTATTGGCTTCACATCCAATCTGATTTCCTTTTTCAGTTGCGTTTGATCCGACTTCCAGTTCACAGGTGACGGAGGGAATCGATGAAGCTATGGATACCTCTCAAGAAGCCGAGGTAAGAACCAGTTTTCTTTTTTGCTTCATTCCAAGCTTCCTATTCTGGCGCTTTCTTTGTTTATTGGTTTATCTGTTTCACATCCCTCGTTGTTCAGGTTGCTGATGCCTTCAGCGATCCATTAACGGATATACATTCCACTCTTTCAGAGGAGCAAAGGAAACCATCTCTTAAGAGAAGGTGGAGCTCAGACTCTGATAGTTCAGGTTAATTTTATTTCCCTTATGTCTTTCATAGTCGCAGCGGTACATCCTCGCGGCTCACTTCCCGTAAATATTGTAATAGTGAAGATTTAGGTCAAGAGAGCCCTTCGCATGGTGTCCTAGGGACTTTTGGGTTAACCGATGAACTCAACATTGAAGGTGTTTCTACCCACGATGCATCTCAATTTGAGAAAGATGTATGAAAGTATAGTTTTAAGATTTTTTGTGGTTACTTTTTGTATGTTATTGCCATATTTGATGTGATTGCTATTTTTTAAGGTCCTGACTAGTATGCTAGGGGATGGTGGCAAAAATTCTATGAATGTAGACCTTTTCTGTGAAGGAAAATCTCGAAAGAAAGTCAAGGACGCAGTTGGTCATGAACCTGGTGAGCCCTTTGTTTTTCAAAGTTTTTACTCTTCAGTCACGTAGCCAATCTTGGAGAGTCAAGTAGAGAAGCGGCGCTCAGAGGCTGTGTAACCTCACTAGCCCCAAAGCAATTTTTCGCGCAAGAAAGAGGCCATTGTGACCCCACCATTTCTCTTCTTTTCTTACTTGGCTGTCTTCCTGTGCATTTGATAATCATAGTTTGGCATCTTTCAGGTCCATCTGGATCCAAGTCGTCGTATACCGGCACTGAAGATTATGATAGAGGCGATGATGCAGCTAATTCTCACTGGAACGCTGAAAATTCTGAAAAGGAAGTATGGAATCCAGTTTAAACAGCTTTTATTTCATTTGTCTTCGAGGATTAAGTATCAGTGTTCTTTATAAGGTTGCTGCGAAGCAAAGCTGGACTAATGGTTCGTTCAGGAATGTCAGTTCACTGAAGGCTGAAATAGTACAAAGTGATATTTCAGATTCTGGTCAGTTTGTTGCATAATAGCTTGAACCTACAGCATAGGGAATCTTGAGTGGGGTGGAATTTCTTTGCTGACACTATCGGGTATCCATATATTTCCAGTGTTTTCCTTGCAGACGAACAGAATTTCGTTTAGGAAGCGATGAAGATGATGATTATGTACCAGAAGCCAATAAAGGCGGGACGTCGTCCGAAGACGACACGACAACAGATCATGCCGAACCGAAGTAGGGAGGGTGTGGTGATTTAAGCATGTTTCAAATGCACAAAAGGAATAATCTAGTCGTTAAGAGGGGTGTTATTACATTTTACTCGCTTTCAGCGTGCCAA